GGGGAATCGATGGAAACCTTCCCATATTGCGATCCTGTGTTTAGAATCGAACTCTCGAAAGGCGCCAGCGAATAATCCGAGGCCTCCACTGACGTTATCTCGGAAACGGACGGGATCCACCAGGGTAGTCGTTAAAACATCCCATGGTGCAGCGTCACGTAACTCCTCCACGTTGGATCTGGTGACCAACGAATCCACTTACTCGGATGCCGGCATGTCATCCTCCTCGCAAGAGAAAATCCACTCAGTACGAAACGGCAACTCAGGGAACAGGATGGTGATTTTCATAGTGGTGATGGCAACACGATTCAACTACTTTGCGGACCAAGGCTCGATAGCGTCTGCAGTGAATGCCACATGCGCGAGCCGGCCAGAATTAAGGTTGCATCCGGGCCAAACGCGGCCACGCGAAGCATGCCTGGTAAGAAGGAGTTGGGAGGAGCGGCGACCAAGGCAGATCCAGTGGATCCGCTACCGTGGGGTGACCCATCTCCATCGTCGCTGCCCGATCCATCATCGCTGTCGATCGGGATTGCAGATCCCGCAGTGCTGTCCCCAGATCCGAGCGCCCCAGCGACTTGTTTGGTCGGCGTCGAGTGCGATCTCCGCCGAGCTTCAGACCTGGATTGCGACAAAGCCCGCCGCATGTCTTCCTCCAACGCATCGTCTGCAATCCGGGCCTCCTCTGAGTCCTCAGGATTCTCATCATCGTCCTCATCATCGTCAGGACTGAACGAGTAATGACCCGCTGAGATGGTACGTTTCGAAGAAGAACGGATGGGAGGTCCCGAGCCGTCGGACCAGTCGGCTCCATCATCTTCGTCGTCTTCTGAGCTACCGAGTCCACAGCCGGTAGGGATGGGATGTTTGGTTTATGCCTTACCGTACCCAGCTCCCACCAGTGAAGATCCAGTCAAAGCTGGTCGGGAGACGGTAGGCACCGCCACGGAGGGTCCAGCAGTAGATCCCGACTAAGCTGAGACCGACACGGCCATGGACGCTGCTAGCCCAGTCATACAAGAGGCAGTTGCCTTAGTCCCAGTCGTCGAAACCGCCTTGGACGATGTCGTGGTAGCGAATCCAGACTTGGGTCCAGATCCAGACTTTGAAGACGCAACCGCAGATTTGGTAGTGGACCTTGACTTGGATCCAGATCCAGACTTCGAAGACGCAACCGAGAACTTGGTTGCAGATCCTGTCTTGGATCCAGATTTCGTTGATACTATCGCAACAGGTACCTGTTTGGTTGTCGGAACGCTGGATCCGGCCTTGGAAGCCACTTTGGCAACAGAACCGACTTGGGATTTGGCCCTGGCAGGGGATCTAGCAGGGGACGAAGTCCGAGTTTTCTTGTGAGGCCGGGAAGATTCAACGCCAGAAACAGGGGATGTGCTGCGCGGTCGTTTCGTAGTCGAAGGGTCCACCCCACCTCGGGACTGCTGGGGGGGGGCGGAGTGTTGGCGGCCGGGGGTGATCCGGTTTGAGCTGAGAGTGGATCCGTGATGGCAACGGCCACCAAAGTCAGCCGTCGACGCGCCATGTCACGCTCGGACAAAGTTCGATCACGCTCCGGAACCAGTTGCTGGTGCTGTTTGCGGACAGTAGCAAGTTGATCCCGTAGTTGAGTCGAAGTCGTCTCAGCGTCTTTCAACTTAGCACCTGGATCAACAAAACAAGTGGATATGGGATCACAAAGAGGAAACCAGAGAGGATCCACGTATTCATACGACGTATTTTTTATTCCAGCTCCGTCTGCATCCGCGTGGCATCTGCCCACTCGGTGGCTACCCTGTCGCGTTGGAGCTCGGTATCCGTCAACTTTTCTTGGAGTTCGTCACGCGCTTGAGTCATACCCACGAATTCCTCAAGCGCGTAGTCTCGCCCCGCTGACAACTTCTCGATCGACTCTTTGGCATCCTTTCGCTCATCAGATAGACGAACCAGGGCGACGTTTGGCGACGAGGAAGGTGGATCCGGCGCGGGAGACCCTCCGCGAGCTGACCCTAATGCAGATCCACCATGGGTCGATCCCACATAGTCGTTAGTCATCACCTCTTCCTGAGTTAGGCGCAACTCGTCGCGGAGCCTATCCAAACTCTCGTCAGCAACCACGCTAGCGACTTGAGCACCTTCAAGATCCCGCTCCAGATCGTGGATCTGCTATTTGAGTTGGTGGATCTCGGATCATGCAAGCGACTGTTCCCGAAGGAGATCGAAGTAGTCATCTTGCAAGCCATCACGCTGACGGGAGATGCGATCCAGTCGTTCGATTAGGTCGCGAATCTCCACAGCTTGGTCGGCCAACAGAAGTCGCAAGGCTTGTGAGCGAGAAGCTGCGCGGTGCTCCCATCCTTGGATCTCCGTAGCTTGATCATGAACTTGAGCCTGTAAGGTCCGGGGTCGGGTGGCGTAGGAAGATGCGGATAGCGACTTGAACGCTTGCTGAGCCACAGCCTCTGCGCGTTGAACTCGATCCCGAGCATCTCGAGCAGTCTAGAGCTCCGCCGTCAAGGTCCGTACCTGACCGGAGAGAACTTGGGCAAAAGTCCGCAAATCCGTAGGCGACGCAGGAGGACTGACCAAGGGAAGCGGTGGATGGGGCCTTGCCAGGCGATTTACCAGTACGTTTCGTGGGAGACATATGTCACGCGAGAGAGGAAGCTGTTGGAGAAGTAGGAGTGTTGGGAGTGTACGTCGTGAACGCTGTCGTGCAGCGCCAACCACGTAGAGGAGGCGATTGTGGTGAAGTGCTTTCTCAGAAATAAAGAGACTGGATCCGACAAGGAGTCATTATCCCAGATTAGTGACAACATCCGGTGGCTAGGCGGATCTGGATGGCCCGGCATGGATCCGCGCCGCTCGAAGTGAATTGGGTCAAGGCAAAGTGGCATCCTATATGGTTCAACGATGGATCTGGTATGGATAACATACGGGGAGGCAGGATCCACCAACTGGAGACTCGGATCCACCTCACCCGATTATACCTAGGGGATATGGGATACACCATGTGCGGGTGGATCGAGTGAGGATCCTATGAAGGAAAGACGGTAGAGGTCATCTGGAGGTGGATCTGGTATCAATGACTAATGAGGAGACAAGATCCACCGCTATAAGGCTCAGATCTCACTTTGCCAAGTTCAGATCCAAGGGATTGATGGTCCCACACCGAGTGACCTGGATCCAGGTTATGGAGATGGTGGATGCAACGGATCTCAAACTTTCGTGGATTGATGGGGACCGCAGACAGTCGTAAGACGATGTTGGAAGATTGGAGAGCTCAGATCCATGATGAGCGTACGCTTGCAGCGAGGTGGATCAAAGTGATCTGGGTCCAGAATAGTGTACCCATAATATGGCGACCTCATTATGATTACGCCATGGGTCTGGTGGATTCGATGATGATACAGCTGGGATGATGGGTCAAGGAGAAAAATGACATGTAGCCGAGCCTGGTAGGGGGTTTAGCAGGTAAAAGACATAGAAGGTAGACATCCGGGCAGGTATAGGCTTATGTATCAATACAGTCCTCAATTTGCACAGTATCACGCAAGTGCCTTCGTGCCCTCAAGAATCGGAACTACATTGGCCGTACGAGCTCGAAGAAGGTTGGGAATTGCGAAACTAGTGTTGGTAGTGATAACTGGATAATACATTGGCCAGATCCTACAACCTAGTGATCTTTCCCTGTACACGTGCAGATCCGACAGGCTAACCGAATTTACTTCTTGGTCAGTTACACCCTAGAGACTCTCAACTCTCAATACCCCGTCACAGGAGGCGGCACGTACGACGCAAAGGAACTACAAAGGCAAGGGTACCCACCCGCAAGGCAACCCTACGGCCAGATCCACGATCTAGGCCCCGGATCCATAAGTTTGAATATTTACTTAGGATACGGAACCATCCACGGACGCAGCGTGAAGATTTTCCACTGCTGCTTCACCCCATCCCCACGTCTCGCCAAGACGCTCAAGCTTCACCACTTGAACACTTCGGAAGTTACCGAGAGAGCAAGATCCCGCCCTACCGACGGGTACACAAGGTGAGGAAAGATCAGCAGATTACGGATCATCGGGGGACCCTCCGTTAGTCGGTGTCTGGGCGCAGTTGGTAAGTTGGATCCAGCAATCTCGCAGATTTTGCTGATCCCGCTACGCCACACAGCGGTCGCAATCGCTTGCACAAGCGTCTCGTCTGCTGAGGCTGGCGCTGTCTGCTGTACTACTGCAGAGCTTACAGTACGTTCTTCGCTCTCCGAGGCCCGTGCACGCGTTGAGCTCATAACATGTAAAGTAGAGTAGTGGCTGTTTCTCGTGCTCACCATACTCAATTACTAACAGAGGATTGCTGGGCAAAAGGCCGAGCAGGTGGGCATGGGCTCTAGTTCGAGAATGCTGTGCGGCGACAGCAAGAGCCCTCCAGAGTGTATTTAAGACCTAGGAGATGATTGACTGCAGTGCCACTAACTTGCAATTCCCACGAGCTGGTCTGGAACCCAGCAGCGAGCTTCCTGAACCAGCATAGATGTATATGTGCTTCACACGCCCATCCAAGCGAAGCGCGGCTGGCTACACGTTTAACTCTTTGCAATAATTTACAGTACAACGAGCTACATGTAGTGGTAGTGCAAGTAATTTATGTAAAACCCTGACCCGCGGATCTGCAGACGTTCCGAAAAAAACGTAACCATTTAGGAAGACTTCAATGAGTGTAGGTATTTGCGTGGCATGCAGTAATGGCATGCAGACTATCTGGAATCAAGAACACCATCTCGAAGGACATCATGCCTATCAAGTTGCAGCTACTGCATTACTGGTGCTCGACCCTCAAGGCTGTTTCAAGACGGTTGGCTACAATACGAGTAGGTAGTCTAGTGAGCACAGCGATAGGCGTCTAGCCAAAGGAAGCTCACTTCTAAACTTGCAAGCAATAGCACACTAGCATTCCCAGCAAAACGGAAACGACCACACAGTATACTTTAGTCCTCAGGGACCGCTAGCATGGCAAGCAACGCGCAGCAATATGAAGCGGATGGCGACGCGGTGATGCATTCGGCGCACCAACCAGTTTTCGAGTTTATCAGGGTCCTTGGCTTGAAGATTGGAGCCACAACGCGTTGGTCAAGTGGAGGCAAGCACGTGACCAGTACGAAGAGACCATCCGACAGCGTTGTCTCGAGAGCAAGGAGCGACCCGAGACTGCGATGAAGCCCGTAAAATCGTCGATTCACCGAAAGTTGCTGGAGGTGATCTGTCTCTACGAGCTGCGGAAGGCAGTTGACGACGTTAGTAATGAGGAGATCCTCATACTGATCAACCAACGTATCGGCACCGTGAAGAATGAGCAAATACCTGATCTTGACGAGCTCTTCAAGAGGAAGTTGAAGATCAACCTCGCCGAGGATGATATTGACGCTCGGGTGCTGAAGTATTATCGAGATTTCGCCACCATTATAGAGAATAATGGGCTGGAGAAGATTCTCGGTGTCGGAAACCCTGAAGCACAGGGGTTTGCCGACCGCATGAAAATGCGCTGCAGTATTTTGATCGACAACCTCGAACCGAGAATGGTCCGTGACGATGTTAGACGTCACTGCAAGTACGCATGTAGAGAGGCCAAGAAAACGATTTCATGCTCTTCAATATCATTAAGGAGAAGGCAAGGGCACAGCACAAGTATCATTTGCTGGCGATGGAGCAGAAGGTAAATTCTGCTTCCAGCCGCAAATCCAGTCAGGTCGAGCCGAAGACCAGGCCTGGCAGAGCAGAGCAACGGGTCAATGGAGCCCAGCGCTTCAATCTGAAGCCAAATACTGCACAACCTCAACGAACGGACTCAACGCCTCCGAAGACTGGTTGCTGGCACTGTCAAGGCTCTCACTGGCTTCGGGACTGTCCGACTGCGACGGCCGAAGATAAAAGTCGGGCAGTGGACAGGATGAAAGAAGTGAAGGACAGGTCACGTGTGACGATGGTTCGCACTGCACCCCAACCAGGCGAAGTCATGGTGAATGAGTTAATTGTATTAGCATATTGCGCCGGCTCTGGTTCCGACTCGACGGTAATACCACGTACTGCGGTTGAAGAGTTGGTAGCTCTGGGGAGTGGTGTAAAGGTACAACCATTACCGACACCCGTTGATGCAATAGTAGCAGGGGGGTCAACGGTGGTCTGTCGCGACTCCGTGACGCTCAACATCGTTCTTCAGACCGCCTCCGGCACTGTCCGCCTGCAAGAGGTCACATGTCTGGTAATGGAAGGAAATGAGTCTGATTTCCTTCTTGGCAACGAAATATTAGTATCACTGGGTATTGATGTCAACCATCAACTAGAACAACTTGCCGGTAGTGCTCTTCCGGAAGATGTCGACCCGTTTGAAGAAGAGGAATGTCCAGATGCGGATCTGTCTGTCGCTGACATTCGTGAGAAGCTTGAAGACATGGTGGTTGCAGCCGGCAACAGCGGTTTCGACCAGGGATACATGTCGTTCCTCCGAGACATTACATTGGCGTACGAAGACATCTTTAGGATTGATCTTGGAGCCGATCCTCCTGCTGACAATGCACCACTGCGAATCAAGCTTGTTGAAGGAGCTAAACCCTTCCGTGCCCGCTCGCGCCGATATGCTCCGGCACAGCGCAATTTCCTTCGGGAGTATACGAAGCGGCTAGAGCTGATGGGGTTTATCCGGCAGAACAACCAGAGCCACTGGGCCTGTGCAGCAGTACCTGTGGCCAAACCCAAAGTACCCGGTGAGTTCCGGATGACGATCAATTATCGTCCGGTTAATGCACTTACTGTGCCGATAGCAGGATCGGCAGAGGATGTGACGGATTCAGCGAGCGAAGCTGAGAGAGCGTACGGCTTTGCAGATTTCGATATGCCAAAGGGATTTTGGCAGCTCCCTCTCCATCCTGATAGCCAAGAGTTGATGAGTTTCGTTACTACCGATACTGTTTGGACACCAGGACGCGTTCCGCAAGGGGCAAGTGACTCAGCCACACACTTTCAGAATGAGATGCGGACTGTGTTCGCTGAGATGTTGTATGCCCACCTGGTTGTATGGATCGACGACATTCTAGTCTACGCAAAGGACCCAGCAACATTTATCACAGCACTACGTCAGTTGTTTTAGCTCTGTCGTGTCCACCGTTTGAAGCTCAGTGTGAGTAAAAGCTGTCTGTTCAAAGGAGATCCGATGGTGTGGACGTGTATTCAGTGGCGCCGGTATCCGCCACGACCCAGAACGTATCAGCGCTCTTCAGGCGCTTCCACTGCCAGCTACGGCTGCTGATCTACAGCAATGTCTATGTGCTGCAGGGTGGATGAGGGATACTCTCGTGGATTTCGCCCGGGTCATGCGTCCACTACACGACAAACTGGAGGCAATACTGAGCGTCAGTGGACGCACTAAGAAGATGGCAGCCGGTGTTGCCTTGACGTGGACGTCCGACGAGGAAGGTATGTTCGCGACGGCAAAGAACCTTCTTGGTTCGTCACAACTGCTGCATTTCCCGCAGTCCTCGACCGTAGTCTCCGTGTTTACGGCTGCGAGTGACCTTGGATGGGGTCTCGTTGTGACACAGGTGGACACTTGGGACTCTGACCTGCCGGCACACGAACAGCACCACCAGTTGCTGGTATGTAAGAGTGCAATATTCGATACGACCGAACGCCGGTGGAGAGTTATTGAGAAAGAAGCCTACCCTATCATTTGGGCTGCCCGCAACCTCGGCCATCTTCTCATCCGCCCGACTGGGTTTCGACTCTTTTGCGACCACAAAAACTTGTACACACGAAGTCAAACGTCACATCCGGGGGAAGCTTCAGCGGTGGGCTTTGTCTCTCACCGGCCTGCCGTACCGTATTGAGCATATCGATGGCGAAGCTAACGTCTGGGCATACCTTTTGTCTCGCTGGGGTTCCTCGTCTTCAGGAGAGGTGGGGCTACACGTGAAGTGCCAGTTCATGACTCCTAACCAACAACGCATTGAAGATGCAACCAACAACCAGCTTGACGAGCTTAGACCGCGGCAAGGTGATTTTGTTTTCCTACTCTGGACGAGTTGAAGCAACTGCAGCAGAGAAACAAGCGAGGTGCACCAGAAGTCGTAGACGTTGACGACGATGGTATAATGTCTGTTGAGGGCAGATTCTGGATCCCAGACTCGGCTAAAGAACTACGGCAACGCATCCTAATCGTAGCTGCAGCGGGGCTGCCGTAGCTTTAGCGTCAGAGGAAGACGTTCGACTCAAAGAGTCACTAATATTAAGTTCCTTATCCAAAGGACACTTACAGCCCAAGACCAGGGCTCAACGTTAATACCTTAACTTTTATGCTTCAAAACCAGAAGTGTTTTATTTACTATTATTGCGGCCAAGCCGCCTAAGGGTAAATGTATCTCTTTAAATATCTAGCATAGTTAAACCTGATCAAATGCATAACGTGTGGCTTTCAACCAACGTACTGAGAGACCTTGTTTACTCGCCAGCTTATGTACTGCGAGTATGTTAACTCTCCAGCTTATGGACTGCGAGTATGTTAACTCTCCAACTTATGTACTGCGAGTATGTTAACTCTCCGGGTACTCCGTACCCCTGTGTGTTCCACATCATGTAACCCCGTTACACTCTCCCTCACTAAGATGAGAACATTCCGTTCTCGAACTTTCCTCAGCGAGGTCACGTCTTGTCAAGACGACGGAGGTCACTAGACCTCACCTCTGCGTTCTGCAGCTCCACGAGCTCACAAACGCGTTCGCATCCTTGATGCCTGGCACTTCCACTCCGGCCCACGGCCCAACGTCTCCAGCGCGTCGCGCCGCCCCTGCCTCGTCGGTCCCAGACCCCCAACTGCGCTCCGCAACTGCTCCAAGAGCATCTTCGTCTCTTTCTGTGGCAGAGTACCACCAAGAGTATCGCCGTCGACACGGTCAACGCTCCATGAGCCGTCAACAAGAAGAGAGCAAAGCTCAAAGCTCGTCAGAGCCGCGGGCGCCGCCCAGAGGGAACGATGTTCTGTTCTCGGAACTTGAAGAGGGCGAAGTCGACTATGACGAGCCAATGGGTAGTGAGGATCACTCCAACCCAACCTCTCCGAGGTCGCACACTGGTGCCGCGTCTTCCCCAGCTTCTTCTGTGAGGTCTAGCCGCTCGACGGCGCGATCTCAAACAAGAAGAGACCTGCGGACACCGCATCCGTTCTCTGAACGTTCGAATCCGATTCGCGCGCTGCGCGATGCGCCACCGCTATCGTCGCGGTATGACGAGGAAGATCGATACGATCACAACGTCATTACGAATGACCTGGACGAGGCCCAAGGCCGTCAGTTGTCCAATGAGCAGCGCTCGCAGTTGTTCCGACCTGTGGTCCGACCACTTGTTCTAACGTCACGCCGTGACTACGGCTTCCAGCCGCGAAGCCCTGCTGAAGCGGCCCGCCTCCCGGCGCAGAAGCCGCTGAACACGTACACGTGTGGGCCTGCGGCCTCGACTGCTGATGAGCAAGTGCAGCGGCACCGGCTCCGAGAGCGATATCTGACTCCACAAGTCACAACTCCTCAGGAGTACCAGGCGCGCCTGCAGATGCAGCTCAACCGCCAACCGGTTCCCTCTATGCGAACCATTCCGGTTGTTTTCAGCCCTGGGGAATCCCAGCGTGCTTATGAAGCACAATTCCGAAGCTGGGTGGAGGGAGCTCGACGGCTCCCCTCCTACAATGCTCTTCGACCAAGTTTCTCTGAAACTGATATTCGTCTTGAGAGACGTTTGCGCTTAGACTTCGTGAAGTCGAAAGCACGTCGACGAACACTGGGACCCCGTCCCCATCACCTCGAGGCGTCACCACCTCTTGCTCATGCTACGAGCGCCGCTCATTCCTATGAGCCGGCTGCTACAGCCACTGGTCGGAGCTTGAGCTCAGCCACCGACCTGTCATCCCCGCGTTCTAGCGGCGGGAAGCTCTCGGCGCCTGACGACGCGGTCGTACGCCGTATCGGCGGGGCAGTGACTGTGCCCGATCAAAAGCGTCGACGACGTCAGGGCAGTCCTGCCGGAGGACAACCTCAAACTCTTAAGAGTTTTGTGAGTGAGGATAACCCCTCCATTTCACAAGGTACTGAGTACGACCCTGGCGCCTGCGCCTCGCCACCAGGCGTTCCACATGGAAGTGGAGCTCGCCGTGCTCGTCGAGCAAAGCAGGAGGAGGCCGAGCCTCAGCCGGACTCTCGCGTCGCGAGTCGCAGCGACGTGTTCGCGCTGAACCAGCGTGTGGGTTCTCTGAACCAGTATCTCCATGATACGACTGACTCTCTGAGTCGCCTTGCAGATGGTCTCGATGAGACGAACCACCGCGTGGACTGGTTTGAACAACCACAGTCGGTTCAGAACCGAGTCGCGACCTTGCGCGTCAAGTCGCTCAGCTGCAAGGTCAGATCGACTTGCTGTTGCGTCTTGTGGCCCCGCCACCTGCTGTCGCTCAGCCTGCCGTGGGTCGGCCTCCCGCTGTTGCGCAGCCTGTCGTGGCCCAGCCACCGTTGGCGCCAACGCCTCCGCGCTCACCTGAGCAGGGTCCTGATACGGCTTGAGTAAGCCAACGTAGAAGACTGGATGCGTGCGCATCTTCTTCGGAAGGTTAAGCGTATACGCTAGGCCCTTCTTGGCCACGACCTTGAACGGTCCTATGAACCGTGGTCTCAATTTTGTCTTA